TACACGATCTTATTCTCATCTTTTAACTTTATTTATTTAGAGACTAGCTTTTCCCGCGCGGTTTCATTTGCTCCTCGGCTCCTTCAAATAGTAGCGTGATGTTTTATAGCCTAAAGCCTTCCTCGATAAATGGACTAACAAACACAAAAATAATTATTCAATACGAACCAATAGTTCTGGAGATTAGAAACAAGCTCTCCAGCTTTATAATATTAAGTATAGATGTATAGATGAGGTGAATGGACATATACAACACAAAGGTAGTGTTAGTTGCACAAAGAGGTCTACTTTCTGCAATGGTAAGTGGGAGACGACTTTACGGTACAAAGACCAACGTCAAATAGATTATCGCTTATCGAAACCATTTACGGTCTTACAATCAAAAGGCTGCGACAGTGCATAAGTAATGATGGGTAGATAGCCCATTATTGGGCGACTGCAACCGTTAACCCTATTATATCGTTGTTACCTGCGTCGAATAATAAGCTGATGCACTTAAGGTGAGCTAGACAAACCTTAAGAGGACCCAAACCTTACTATTTGGATCAGTTCCGCAATGAAATTACCTTATTTTGTGAGAACTTACATGTGTGCATTTCGTAGATTTTTACCACTGTATTCGTATTTTATTTTTATTAAAAAAATTTCGCCCAATAGGGGCTTAAGGTTATTGTCTATAGTTGCATATTTGATTTTCGAATAAACTTTAATTACGATCTTCCTATTTTTTATTCGATTATCGATAAGAATATTAGTTTAACACTTGATTTCGCACTCGTAAATCTTAGTCAATTGTGCGGGTGACAAAGAAGGTCACATAAGTAACGGAACGAAGGCTCCAAAGTAACCTCTTGGGGCTAAAATTATTTGCCTCTAACATTGCCTTTAACCTTCGCGTGATTTATTTCGTCTTTACTAGACACGATAAATAAATTAGTCCTAAAATTCAAGAAGCATATTTTAATGCGAAATATATTTAGTTAAAGTATAGACCTTAGGTCACGATACAGATTATTATAGACTGGAGTTATTGAGTTCGTTATTTAAATAATACTGGCTACCAAGTTGTACCTACATTTCGAAGAAATATGATTTTTAAATATTATACCTTCTTACAAGGACGTTCTATTTTTAAAACAAATGCTAGTGAACTTCTTATGTGGGTTTTGACGTATGGCAATTATAAAGCAGTAGATCAAGAACAGTCGTGGAAGCATCGGAGCAAGCGCAAGTCATGACTCGGTGAAAGTGTACACGAACAATGGAAGACGAATTGTAAGACCCAAACAAACAAAACATGGAAACGTTATTCTCTATTGCGTTACTATAACATTCGTTGGCTATTCGACTAACGAAACAAGCATCCTCAACACGAACACCAACTAGGTATATTAAAAAGGAAATTGCTCAGTAACTAATTATTATTGTTTTTGTCCACTCTTCGTTTATCGCTAACTTATCGAATCAAAAAACTTTACTTCATCCTGTTCGTAATAAATTCGGTTAATAGTCTAGGATATCGTGACCATATCTACAGAGTGTTATAGTTATATTCGTCCCTACTTTTTTACACTTCTCCATTGCATTAATAAATGACAATGTAGTCAGTTTCCCAGCAGCAATCAAAGTAACGGTCCTCAAAGGTATGTAGATATAAGCAGCACTAAGCAGTTACTTTAATATTTAACAGTAAACTGAAGGTCGTATTAAAAACCGGTAATGTTATAACAGGAACATTTTTTTTGCCAATCTCTAGTTGGAATTGTAGTGTCGGCAACATCGTAAAAACCATAAACATCAACGTTTACTTTTAAAAACTGGATCACGTTTTTTTTTTCTTATTTTCGAGAGAGCTGACACATGACTAACGACAAAGTTTCATTGTTAGTATGTCACGGTTAATGTTGAAATGAGATATCTGATAATTAACAAATAAGTATTTAAGTCTTTTGTTGCTTGCTTTTGTAGACTTAAATAAATGGTCGAATAAATGTACCTAAATAATTAGAGTGTTCGGTTTCAGCCTTTCAGGTATTTTCGTCAATTATCTATGTAAATAATAGCAACGTACTCAATTAAATTGCAGTCAGGTCGATAATTCTATTTAGGTATACCTGTAGTTAGTTAGTTTAGTGTAATAATTAGCCGGAACCCGTTAGTTTTTATCATTGCATCGCGCCCTTCTGAACTTTTTCTTACGTTTTCTCGACTTCTAACTTTAGTCCTAAACATTATCTTCGAGGAAACATTTGACGGTAAAGAGATTTTGAAAATGGAAGAGTCACGGTATGTTTTTTAAAAAGCTTACTCATGTACGTTGAAGTGAAAACGGCGATTACTGCTACGAATCGGACAACAACGATTGGTCGAGCACAGTCACGAGCCGTTGCAAATGGATCATCGATCATTGGACATAATACGGGTGAAACTTACCAACAGTTAGGCATCACTAGCAAATAAAATAAACAATATCTACAATTTACACTTTCAAATATTCCTCAAATATTGACACAAGTCATTTTGCAAATTGATTCATGTCATATAATATCGGTAATAAAAATGAATCGAATGAATCGATTTAATTAAGTAATTTTATTAATCGATAAAGCGATGCGCGGCGCGGTCGATAAACAACTAGTTATTTTAGAAAACTGGTTTCTCTTCATAATGCTCAAGGTCGTATATTTTCGACGACGTGCTTCTGATTATAAGATGATCCTGAGAGAACTGAGGTCATTTTGCATCTCATCGATATAATAAGGAATGACCTAATGCAACACACTTATTATTCGATCGAACAATGTTTGTACCGTTTACTTTCGCTATCGTATTCGAAGATTAATATTGTTGTACTATTTCTCTGATAATATTGTGATATAGATAAACATACAAAAGACATAATGATGAATGTAATCAGTGGGTACGAATTTTAATGTTCATACTTTTTTTAATGGTTTAGTTCATTGTAAACAAATTGATACTTTCTCAGTCTTAGTTTGGCGGCGTATCAACAATCGTGGGAATCTTTTAGTAATGAAATTACAGCCTTTATGTTTCTTGGGATTTGTTCCAGTGCAAAAATATCATTTGACATTTTCAATTATTTGATACTTGATATGTTGCCTAAAGGCCAGTGCTAAAAGTTCAATATAATCTAGACACGCGCGTTTAATAATGCGCCACGTTATCGTGATACATTGCGCCTGCAATAACTAGGGCAAGCACATTGCAACATGAATAGTAAATATTTAAATGTATGTATCAGCGCTTAATAAATAAATTCCAAAGATAAATGGTAATAGAATATATACTGGTCAAATGTACAAGTTCAAACAAAATGTGAACACATTGACATTCAATTAGCCATTCCCCAGTGGCCTTGTGTGTCTCAAGCACTTGAATTCAATAAAATGGTCAGTCCAATAAACTAATAGACAAATTTTAATTGACATCTCATCAAACCATCTCTGTGAAACTCTGCCTTAAATTAATGATTTATGAAACATTGAACATTGCTTAAGTACAGAAAATAAATTAGGCAAACAGGCAAATGTCAGTAACAAAAGAATAGTCAATACAAAATATATGATAAGACTTAGAAATCTTGTCAATTGCAGTTTGTCAAGAACGCATCATAATGCTCTTAAAATTATCAGTGAATTCTTGAATTAATATAATAGCATTGTTAGAGTGTAAAGGCTACCAAGTATTTTAAGGCATTGTCACCTGTATTAATTAGGATAAAAATATTAACACTCACCAGTTCTAGGGGAGATGGGCACGGCAGGTTTAGGCGCAGAGTTGGAGCAGAGGCGACCAATCTTAGAGGGTGGCTTCAAGCCAGATGGTTTAGGCAAAGAAGATGGTCTTGTGGAGTCAGCTGGCTTGGTGACAGGGGAGGTTGCTGTGCTGGCTAGTGATGCATTTTCTGAAGACGTGGATGACGGTGGTGCAGGGGGAGCAGCTGCCGGATCCGGCGGAGGCAGTTGTTGGGTTTCTTGGGTCTCACTCATTTTGTTTCACTCAATCACTTTATAACACACTTTTCAGGGTCAAGCTACATTATTTTACTGAAAACGGGTTTTTATAGTAATATTAGTTACACGACGCATTTTAAATCATCGTGCGACTAATAAACTAAAAATATCGCGAGTTCCCGCGCAATAAGACGACACGTAATCTGGATCACGGCCAGTGCGTCGTTGTAAGTAAAGATAAACAAAAATACCGTGGTTTCGTGTGTAAGAACCCTACACGTAATATTGTAAAATAAGCACCGTGGAAGTATTAACACGTGTATAAATAATAACACTAAGTAATAAATTATACATTTAATCTCTACGTGTTAATTTTACTCCTTACGTTTAGTGTATCTAAGTAAGCGTGTTATTTAGAAAAAATGTAACGGCATACCTTGGAGAAATGGAGCACGAAAAGTGCTACCTGTGTAAGGCAAAGTAAAGAAAAACTCGCGAGATTTTTACCGCTCGTCGGACGGGACCAGCTGAGCTTGACCGTTGACGTTATCACTGCCACTACACACACATTATCTAATTACATTTATTGGACAAATGTCATACGTAACATTAAACACCAATAATAAAAGGAATTACACTGATTGTAGAAAAAAATGAAACACGCCGTTAGCTAATAGAAAACAAAATATACGAACGTAAATGCAATACAATAAACTCATCCGTCCTCCCCTTCGTTCAAAACTTCAAAGATACGTTTCGATATTTCATTGGCATCATTAAGTTGATACATTAGAAAACGTTTAGTTATCATAGAAATTTTACTTTTTTTCTATATAAGCATTTTTTTGGATAATATATGGTAAACTATAGTCATATATATGCTTAATACTACAAATTTAACGCCTCAAAGCACATCAAATATTAAAATTTCTTTGAAGATTTCTTATGTGGGCAAAAAGCCTATATTTTCAGCCAAGCCACATAGAAACACCTAGTCCAAATGACGTATCTGACAGATTCGATTTGTCAATTAAATCATCAAAGTTTTTCTCGCAATTCGAGAGCCCGTCCTTTTCAAGCTTGTTATTGATATTGCATTAATGATTCGAAAACTATCGAAGTTAGAAAAATCTTTCCCATATCGTCATGTTTGTGGATAAATAATGTTCATAAAATAATAGTATACAAGATAAAATGAAGCTTGTATATAAAAATATTGAGAGGGATGGCTGCGGGTTAGTTGCATTTCAGATTTTTAACGTTGTCATTATCGTGTTGTAAAGCTCAGTAGTAAAATGCGCTTATCAAATTTAAATACTTCTAATTTATGGTTGTTTGTTTACCAGGAGTATTGGCCTCGTCCCTGAGGAGTCTGAAGACATGTGGCATGCCTACAATCTGGTTGCCGTGGGTGATGCGGTTACAGCATCCACTGTACGAAAAGTTCAGACGGAATCTTCCACCGGTTCTTCAACCAGCAACCGTGTGAGGACTACACTCACTATCACGGTGGAGACCATTGATTTTGATACTCAAGCATGTGTCCTGAGGCTGAAGGGACGCAATATTGTAGAGAATCAATATGTAAAAGTAAGTGTAAACTTCGTGTTCTTCAGTATATAGAGAGCTATGCTTTGGCTGTATAGTTGTAGAATGATACAACTACTATGGCCTCTTAGAAAGCAACTTGGATGTTGTTTCATCATGAGATTTAGATTACCAGAGGCTTCCAGAGGCTTAATATTCCTTCCCCTTCATGAATCGCCAATCATCAAATCTTTAATAATCTCCAAAAAGGCAGCATCACTCTTGTAACTCTTTGATGTTACAGGTGGTTTTAGTGCTGATTTTTTATAAGCAGGTGATACATAAACTTGTTTGCCACCATATACCATAAACTATATGTCTTACATCATCAATAACATTTTAAACTATTTTTTCAGATGGGAGCCTACCACACATTAGATTTAGAACTGAATAGAAAATTTACATTACAAAAACCATTATGGGACTCAGTGGCTTTAGAGCGGGTAGAGATGGCTTGCGACCCAGCTGCCAATGCTGATGTGGCTGCAGTAGTGATGCAAGAAGGCCTAGCACATGTTTGCCTGATCACACCCTCAATGACATTGGTCAGATCCAAGATTGATATTACTATCCCTAGGAAACGAAAAGGATTTGTACAACAACATGAAAAGGTGTGTATTTTCTTTAATAATATTTGTTATTTAAAGCATCTTAATCTCTATTTATTTCTGCCTTATTTTATTTTATAGTTAAGACTCTATGCATTGTCCATTTTACGAGATTTCCTCTCAATTTTCATTTTCTAATATAATACTCAAAAAGTACAAAATAAATACTCTATGATTAAAAATTTTATGAATTTGTTAAAATTGTTTTTTTTTTCATATTTCAGGGTCTAAATAAATTCTATGATGCTGTCATGCAAGCAATCTTGAGACATGTGGACTTCAACATAGTGAAATGTGTAATCATTGCATCACCTGGGTTTGTGAAGGATCAGTTCTTTGAGTACATGATGCAACAAGCTGTGAAAACTGATAACAAATTGTTGATTGACAATAAAAGCAGATTTTTATTAGTCAAGGCCTCCTCAGGATTCAAACACTCATTAAAAGGTGTGTAGGGGTTTATTAAACCTACTTGTTAAGATAAAAAATACAAATACTCAATAATTAATATTTTTCCCTGATCTGAACTTTATGCTATTTATTATAAAATTATATTTGGTTTAAAATTCACATAGTAACTTTCATCAATGCTTCATAAGTTCAGGTTATTTTTTATCTTTCGTAACATTATGTAATCTTATAGTAATTGATAAGGTCTATTATTAAATTAGCCTTGAAAAACTGAATAAGATCTTTGTTTAGGTTATGAGTTACTGTTTGTATAAAAAATTAACAATATTAATGTATTATTTCAGAGGTATTACAAGAACCGGCTGTAATGGCCAAAATATCAGATACAAAAGCTGCCAGTGAGGTCAAACTGCTGGAGAATTTCTACACTATGTTGCAACTAGAGCCCGCAAAAGCTTTTTATGGGAAGAAACATATTGAAAGAGCAAATGAGGCTTTAGCCATTGAAACACTAATGATTTCTGACAAATTGTTTAGGTAGGTTTCCTCTTTTTAATTAAAGAAACTACTTCATTAAGATGTAAGAATTTCTGACTCTGTATGGATTATTATCAATAACAGTCACTGAGATCTTAGACTACCTGGTGGTGCTTATGAAATATTTAAATGTTTAATTTGAATTTTAATTCATGTGTTGTTGTTAGGTGTCAAGATATACAACAAAGGAGAGAATATGTAGCTCTTGTTGATTCAGTTCGAGAGAATGGAGGTGAAGTGAGGATATTCTCTAGTATGCATGTATCTGGGGAACGTGAGTATAATAATTATATCCGTAACTAATAATAAGCTATGTTTTTTTTTTAATAATGATTTGTACATACATTGTTTTACTGAAAAAAGCCCTAATAGTTTCAAGACACAACAAGTACACAATTCATGAGTAGCGTGCGCGTCGCGCAGCAGACATTACAGCGTCGTTTTCAATAAATTTTGTTGAATAGTAAAATTGAAATTATTATTCAAAAATTGTGATAGGTTTTCGTGTTCTGTTCATAAAATCAACTTTCTCGTCCGGTGAAGCGAGAGGGAGCGTCAGGCTTTTACTGACTGAAACCCCTAGTTCTTTTTATGCAGGCCAATTATTTTAAACAACTTTTTCAGCATACAATCCTTTACCGACTAGGCAATCATGGATTCTTAAAAAAAAATTCCTTTCTTCAGATTACAGGAATAATGAAAGGATAGCATAATAAGGTAGAGGAGAGAGGAGGATATTCTGATGTAAAATTTTATTTTTCAGAGTTAGACCAATTGACTGGAATAGCAGCAGTTCTACGTTTCCCTATGCCAGAGCTTGAAGACAGTGATGCAGAAGGAGATAGCGACTCTGACTAGGATATTAATAATTTATTGTTTTCTGTCCATTCATACTAGTACAGTGTACTAGATAAAATCGAGTCAAGGAGCTCTTCCATTTCTAGAAAAATATTGAAATGTGTATTTAGATAGTATTGCATTATCAATATAAAAAAAGAGTAATTGCTGATTTTCTTGGAAGGTACATGTTTATTTTTTAAAAGCGACGCGTCTTCGTCGGTTTGGTACAGATTCTCTTGTATTGTTTCTGTTGTTTTGGGGACAACTCTTAGGAAATAAAGTTGTCAAGGCGTTATTTATTCTACTTCCATAATGATGGCTATGTATTAATTTGATAATCAATACAGAACTATTGTTGTGCAGGACAGAAGTTAAAGACATGTATTATGTAAGTGAAATGATTTTTATATGTGGAATATTCCTAAAAGAATTGCCAACATATTTTGATCTGCTCAACTTAATGGGACACTGTTATAGCATATTTTTATTACGTAGTAACATTTTTTTTTATAAAAATTGATTTATTTTTAATAATAATATCTACATTGGTACTAAACTTATACAGAAACTAGTGTGATAAGCCATAAGATAGTACCAAAGTAATTTTGTTACTTTTAAATGACTAATATTATTATGATTGTCTTGTTTCATTGTTATTTGAAGGAAATGTCCTCGTTTTTATATTGTGATGTAAATAGACTATAAAATAATTTAGCACAATACAGAAATAAAAAGAAACAATTATTTTGAATGACTTATGTTTTATTTATCATTCATGTGGAAGCTTCCAATGCTTGCATTCTTTGTTTGCGTTTTTCTGCTTTCTTTTCTTCCTTTACTTTTTCGTCATGCAGACGTCTCTTTTTCCTTAGCAACCATATTTCCTTCTTCCGTTTCTCCTGTCCAGCCTTCATGCTCTTGTAAAGGTTTCTGTGCTTCTTACGGACAAGTTTCTCTCGCAATCTGAAGGCTTGCTTGTCTTCTATTTCCTTAAGGTATGGGTGCTCCTTGTGAGGCACACCAGCAGTGACAGCCATTGCCTTTTTCTGTAAATCATAAAAATTGTGGCATAGAAATATTTGTTCTCGTACTAAGATGTACTAAGAGTCTCTCGAACTAAGAAAGATATAAATTCTATTAGTAGTACCAACTGAACATCCCAGAATAGTACATGATTATATGAAATATTTTTTCTTCTATGAAAGACTGGGTTTTACTCGCTTCCCTCCCATCATTTGACTACCTACACTTCCTAACCTTTCACTATCTGCACTACCTACCTACTCAATTACCCCATTCTATGTATTCCCAATACTTAGATACCTCCCTACCAATTTTCAGCCAAATCGCTTGAGCTGTACTGGAGTTATAAATAGTGTATAAACAAAGTTGTGACAATGATAATGGTTACATAGATCTAAGAAAGACACATTGTATTGCCTATTGTGTCTATGATTGGCAATGAAGGGGATATTTGATATTTGTAGTTAATTTTGCATTTGTATTTGTGTATTGAGGTAGTTAAAACTCAAATGTATTACCTTTTCTTTAGCCAGCTTCTTTTTCTCTGGATCTAAACCATCGTCTGGATCTTCTTCATCAGAGTCAGAATCTTCTTCTACTTCCTGCTGGTATTGCTTGGCTAGAGCTGCTTCAGCATCACCATCCTCCTCAGAATCCTGTTCCTCTTCCTCCTTGTCCTCATCACTGGCTTCTTCAATGTCACTGCCTGATTCATCCTCATCTGGTGAATTGGAAAATAATTAAAAATCAAGACACAATTCTATGCAATTATTTCTTATGAAAAATTTATATGTATGTTAGTTAATACTTACTAAGAGGTTTGAAGTTAGGGTCATTAAGTGCCCTCTCTTCAGGAGGCATATAAACTTGATCCTTAGTTTTGTCAACAAATGGTGAAAGATGCGGTGGCAGAACAGCACCCATTAAATACTTGTTAATAGGCAGCAGTGTCCTAGCATTGACACTGTCAAATACCCATTGCGGTTGCACATAATATCGGGAGAGATACTGTTTATCCATACTGGGCCTGTCAACAATTTGGTATGCAATGCTCTCGTCTGTTTCGTCAAATGTGGCTCCAACAAAGTGGTCCTTGTCCCATGACACTTCACCACCAAAGCAGCGGATAATAAAAACCAGTGGCTCCCTAGGCACTTCCCTGTTGATGAAGAATTTTAGGCCTTTGAACATGGTTTTTAGTTTCTTGACCTTTTCAGCTTCTAGTTTTGCTTCTTCCATTTTTTGTGGATCATTGTCCTCTGTATCAAAAATGTCCATTTCTGGCAACTCCTCAGCTTCATTAGATCCTGGTACCCTGGCCAAAGATAAGTTCATGGCTGCTATTCTCTCAGCCACATAAGCTTGCTCATCTATGAGCTCTTTATCATCAGCTGAGAAAGCAGCTGTCAGTTTAGGCGGATAGACTAGGTTTAGTGAATGATACAGTTTGAAGTTTACAAAACCGAGCATCATAGTGTAGAATTCCACAAATGTTGACATAATTTTGAAATCTACTTCATCTTTATTTTGAGGCTGCAAATCAAGAATTATTAATGTAATACAAACACACTTGTAATAAGTCAGATTTTTTAGAATGTAAAAATAAGTATGGAAGTATAGCATACCTGGAATGAAAAGTGATGTGGCACAATCCATGTTATGGTTTGTCCTTCTAGTTCAACTTGATAATAGTATCCTTTGACTGATACAAATACTCTCCGCAGTGCTTTTGCTGCAATAATGGCATGCATGAATTCAACTGTCAGTCTTCTGCAGAGCATTGACTGGTCTCTGGGCACCTTCTTTAGGGAAGGGAAAGTACTGAATAAGAAGCATAGAGTAAGGCAGTCATCCAAGTCACGCAAAGCATCTACAAATGTTGGATATCTTTCCTTGACAATATGATCAATGTTTATTTCTGGATAGTCTCGCAAGTACTTTTTCATATTTTTGTATTCTCTCATAGCTCTTGCACGACGAATCTTTTGCTGGTATACCTAGAAGATACATAACACATGAATTGAAGAACTTGCACAATGTGTAGTAAATAAAATATAACACAGATTTAGGTATATGTATGTGCTTACTTTTAACTCTCGGAGTTTCCATATTATAGGTTCGTGAAGTAAGAACTTTATGTCCTTTGTGTGGTATAAGGTTTTGATGCCGCCTGCGCCTTTTTGAGCCCTTTTACGATTGCGTGGTTCTCGAGGATATATACCTTTCAATATACAAATGCGTCTGAAATCTTTGAGGGATAGTTGTAGTTTCTTCAGAGCAGCTTTTCTAGTCATAAACTGAGCTCCTTCTCCCGATGAATACTGTAATAATTAGTAATTTTATTGGTTAGAATAATTCTTAAGCACGTGTTGTTTCGCATTGTGAAACTTGTTTACATACCTTCTTCTTTTTCTTGGAAACCATTTTGTTTTAATTGGCTGTTCTTTGATAAATAACAATAAATGAAATACTAAAGACGATTTTATAGTTATTGTGTTTAAAATCTTAAATTTTTACATTTTATTCATCTGCGCCGTTTCAATTACAAACACGTTTTATTATTGTCAAAGTGACATTAGTGACATTTGAAAATAAGCTAGCTAAAATAAGAGATTTTGTTGTCTGGTAAGTATATGTAGAAAAATATTGTCCAAAACAGTTTCATACAACTCCTATTAATTAATATTTTATTAATATGGGTTAGAATAAATAAAAAATATAATTTACAATAGCTTTTTTTAAGCATAAAAATACCAGTGTATATTTTATGTGTATACTGGTATATAAAATATAGATGGCGCTGAATGTATAGAGCTTTGGTGGTTTACTGCAGCCTAGCGCAACTTAGAAGAAAAATAAAAATGTATGGGATTGGCACGGCAAATAATGGCACACGGAAGTAGCCGGATATTGCCATCCCACTCCCTCAGTACAGTTCTCTTTCTTTCACTAATCCGTCGGCCATTTTGTTTGAAGTTTTGAACTTTGAATGTCGTTGTTTTTGTAAGTTTATGTTGTTATTTTCATAATTTCATAAATTTACGTATAATTTGTTTAGTTAATTAGTGGTTAGTGATACGGCTGTGACTAGTTACGTGTTCAAGTAAAATGCCACCAAAAAAACGGTTTCTAACTTGTGAAATCTGCGGAGGACGATCCGGTCGTAAAAATGGCGAGAAAAGGATGTTTATGGCGAAATTTCCTTTGGATGAGGACCAGTAAGCATTAAATGATATAATTTTATTTAATTCTAAGTATAAAAGGCTACAAATACATGTAAATTGATTTTCATGTACTTATTGTGTACTAGTGATGTACCTCAAGTATCGATAGTCACAGACTTATGTGTGGGCTAAACTCCAAAGATCCCGGGATTTATTTATTCTTCCATGATTTACTTTCCAGACCGCACCAAAGAAGTAATGATGTTATTAGATGTTGTTGAACAAAGTTGTGACACGACAAACCCAGTAGATTTTAAGAAATTAATGATTAAACGTAGATAAAAATTTATGTATACTGTATTCGTAAAATTTATGCATTTATTATATAAGGAACGCCAGCTGTTTACACAATTTAGAGTTATTTATGTCAGGGACTGTCCATTTTGAATTTTTCCATTTTTCAGGTGCCGGCAGTGGGTGAAAGTTGTTGGCAAAGAAGATTTAGTGTATGTGCCGATAGAACCAATTTACTGAACCAATATATGTATTAAGTATTAGAGTCCACTTAATTTAAATAATTTTAGTTAGGTCCTTAACACACCGTCCGTATACAACATGAATTTGAATATTATTACAAAAATATATTTTTTAGTTTTTAATATAACACAATGTTTTATTTCAAATCCGAACTTTATCTTAAAGATCGAAACTAAAAATTAAAAAAGTAATATGACCTCGATTCTACCCTATAAATATTATCGATATCGATACTAAACCTAGTATACAGCTACCACAGAACTATTTGGTCTTTTAGGTTGGTACTATTGATTTTGACGGCTGACATCTTTTATTTATTGCAATGTAGGTATTAGAGTGCCGTGTAAATTGATTCCACTGGCTTGTATGGGAGTCCCGTCTCTTAAACGTAGTGGTTACATACTCTTTGGTTTACTGGTCCAAGCCTCGGTCGGGACAAGGGACCCTCAAAATAATGTATGAACTTTCAACTGCACTTACTTGAAACGAATTTGTTATTTAAAGTTTTTACCTTATCAAGGATATAGAGTCGAGAAAGCGCGTTTATATTTATAAATAAGTTACATTCTCAAATTTTAAACATCTGAATTTTGTATGTAGGTAACTACCTAATTCAAAAAAGCTAAAGTATATTTTTGGGATTTGAATATTACTGAAAAGAAAATAACGAAAAGCAATTTAATTTTTTATTAGGTAAATGAATAAATATTAATAATTTACATTTTTAAGTCTAAATGCTTTTTCTATGCTTGAGTAGTTTCTTCCGATGTGTTTGAAGTTGTTGTAGCAGGAGTGGAAGTGGTAGTTGTAGTTTGGTCCTGAGTGCAGGGTTTGGGATCTATCATTACGTACATTGGATAAGCGTACGAAGTAGGCGACCACATGGGTGAAGCTTGGGCCATCACTGAACTGGCCGAATCTTCACTAAACCCTGCTTCTTTGAGTATGCTCATTGCATTGGTGTAAGCAGACATCATATGGGGATAGAACATGTGGAAGGGGAATTGGTAGGGATATTGTACAGCACTAGCTTGATGTTCACATTTTGGAGTTTCAGTTGCAGTAGCAGTAGCAGTCATTGTGTAGGCGTAGGGGTATGATGCTACGGTACCTGTCGTCTCAACTGGGGTAGAAGATGACACGGGCACAGCGTAGGCATATTGCACGGGAGTGCTAGAAGTAGGGGTCGTTAAAGTGGATCGCTTTTGAGGAGTACTTTCTTCGTGTGTTGTTGCGTATACAGGAGTATATGCCACTGGAACCGAAGCAGCTTGAGGTTGAGTAGATACGGGCAGAACGCCGATTGGCTGATCCAGGGCCCATTGCGATTTCACTCCGTTTTCCTCCGTCGCAGCAACAAACAGATCTCCCTTGGTGCCATCAGCTGAAGTTTTTACGTAGAGTCCGTGAACCGGCGCAAGGACGTCTCTCTTCCATACGTTTGGATGGCAGTTAACACACGTGACTGCTAGTATAACGAGGCCTGCAGCACTTTTTAACTGCATGGTTTTAATTGTAGTAAAATCGTTATGAAGTTGAATGTTGATGAATGATGCTCGTTGGATTGGGATGCTTATTATATACTAAGTTATGCATTATAGGAGACGAGAGGTGGAAAATTTTAATGCAGGAGATCGTGAGAATATTGCATACATAAGCACGTACAGATTTGATGTTCTTAGAGTTTCTTTATCTTTTCTGATGGAGGTGATAAAGATTGTTCGAAGATATTTCGATAATGTAAGTAGTCGATAAAATTCCTAGATAAACATATCTAATGGTATTACATGTAATCTAAATATATTATTGTATGTACACGTGCATGTGTGTACAAGGTACCTGTCTAATATTCAAACTTTTTAATATTTTCTTCCTTCTTTCTTTTATGAAAGAAGTTGTTAATGTAGCCTACCTAATCATCTAAATAGATACCTAAGAGCCTTATCGGGCACAAGTTTCCGTAAAAAAGAAAAAAGAAACAGATAAAAAAAAATCATCCTTGCTTTAACTTTGCAAAACGATTTTAAAAAGCCAGAGGTAAACAATTTAGGTACTATCACGTTTAACTGCTTACTTAGAGTGCATTTTAAAAATGTACATTATTAAGATTTCAATTATTTTATTATTTATTTATTATAAGCTTCATGCACAAGATATTGTACACAAGGTGGACTTAATGCTTTGAGCAATTAAGTACCTACATAGATTTTAAATCAAAATTACAGTAGTTACTTGGAGAAAATAAAACGTTCTCATTCAGTTTGTCATATACCTACTTAATGTAATACGTAATCAAACTCGTGTTTAAGAAATTAATAGTTCCTTCCAAACACTAAAGAATTGCTGACCAAAAAGTCCGTGTAAAATCAGACATCTTTCGATATTAATAATGTCACGTTCATATTTTTTGCCGACGACTACTGCGTCCAAGGTTATCTTCGATTTATTTAGGGTACAGTGATTTTGCAATACTTACAACCTTTGCTATTAATATTGTAGTAATTTTATTACGTCAGATTTTCAATGATGAAATTACCTTTGCACCTCATCGTCATCAGCCTACAAGTGCCCACTGCTGAGCAAAGGCCTCTTCTCACACGAAGAAGGTTTGAGCATTAATCACCTCGCTTGCTTAAGGCGAATTGGCGATTTCAAACTTACAATTACAAATTATAAGTTGAGGTTTCCTCACGATGCTTTCCTTGACCGTATGTCAGTGGTGTCTATACATATAGTCATAGATAGAAGGGACGTATAAGTCGTAAAGTCACATTGGTACTTGCCAGGCTTCGAACCCGCATCCTCATGCATGAGAAGCGGGCGCCTCAGCCTCCGGGCCACCACGACTTTTGAAATTATGCACCTAGCTAATTACAAGCTTGGCTTTGCACCTATTTATTTACAACTTGCTTAGAACTTTTATTGGTGACTATGTTTTTATTAACATGCTTGCTACTCTCGGCTCCATTTGATTGTAGCGTGATGTTTTATAGCTTATAGCACTCAGGAACATTGGAGCCAACTATCAGTGAAATACGACCAGCGGTTCCAAAAATTACACCCTAAATACAAACTTACAAATTACAAATTTTACCTTTGCTTTTATGGGATTAGTCGGCAAACGCACACGGATTACCTGATGGTAAGCAATAGGCGCCGCCCATAGACAGCCGCAATAGGCCGCGTTGCCAGCCTTTTGGGGAGAAGGGTTTCAGATATTTATGGATTGGGAAGGAATGGGGGGGGAGGGGGAGGGGGAGGGGGAGGTATTGGGCCTCTGGTAACCTCACTCATCAGTTTACCTGATGGTAAGCAATCGGTACGTCGTCGTACGTGTGGTACGTCAGACCGTTGGATGCCAAGCCACATACATATATGACTTTAAAAAATCTTATCATAAATGTCAAGTACAAGTAGGCAACAGTACCTTAGCCACAAATAACAAAGCAAAGGAAAACAATTAGAAAACAATAAAATATTACATACTTTGATGAGTTAGGTAATTAAATAATAATGGTAATTTCCAACTACATAGTCAAATAAAATACTTTTATCCAAATGTCAAAAACTATACTTTTCTATGAAATACCTTTAAATCTATGAATATAAAAATTTTTTATGAAACACTGAGTTTTGAGGTCATAGTAGTTTTGTGCAAATAACTTACTATTTATTTCTTAAAAAATAGCAAAAAATTATCTAAAATTTAGTGTATCGATCGATCAATAAAAGTATAGTTTTTTCAATACTGTGTTCTATTGAAACGTCGAATTAATTTATTTTTGACATAAGAAACTACCCAATTGACAGCACGGTTGACGCGGAGACTGGGCAAACGGCTGCTGTGCAACGTGTCGCGGTTTTGATTCCCGCAAAGAAAAACTCTTGTGTGATCCACAAATTGTTCTGGGTCTGGGTGTGAAGCGTATTGTAGGTATGTTTGTAAACGCACCCACGATTTAGGATCTTTGAGGAGTGGCTTGAGAGACGCCACGGCGTCCTTACCTTCCACCTGACGCAGGTGCTTACCGGGCACGGCAGCTTCGGTAGGTTCCTGTTTCGGATCCAGCGGGAGGAAACGCCCGAGTGTCGTCATTGTGAGGACCACCTAGAGGAAACGGTGGAGCATACGGTAGCGGTATGCCCTGCCTGGGCTGAGCACCGCCCTATCCTCAGGGAAGTGATCGGCGGCGGCGACCTCTCGCGCCCGGCCTTAGTCGAGGCCAAGGTGCGGAGTGAGAGGAACTGGGACGCCGTCTCCTCCTGTACGGAACCAGGGTTGATGTGGATGGACTCAGGAAAAATATACTCGAACACGGTTTTAAATTAATAAACTTTAATGGGTGCTAACTACAGCAGTTAAGTATAGCAAGTGGGGTAATTTTCAGAATTCTTCACAATTTATACATTTCATGAGCGTAAGTTGTTGCTCTGAAAAAACCATCAGGCGCGCGAACATGCCCCCGGGCGTTGAAAGCAATGGTTTCAACCAAACTCCGAAGTCACAGGTAGTGGGCCGACTCGATTGAATGCCCCTTGTACGATGCCAGTGGCTGTCTGGATGTCAGCAACACAAGCGATGTCTTCTGTTTCTAGGTGAACCGCCACCACACGGCCAAGTCTCCACTTCAACGGAGGGAAATTATCCTCCTTAATCGCCACGAAGGAGTCCAGCTTCGATCCATCCTTGCAGGAACAGGATAGTCAGGTTGCAGCAAGGTTACGCGTCAGCGGTGTGCAATCTGCAGGATCTGAAGATAAGGCGTTAGTGGATGAGAGTTCGAAATGGCTTCGATTTTAGTTAGTGTGGTGTACAGTTTATCAAAATTCAAATTACAATTTCCCAACACTCGTTTGACGATGTACTTTGTTGACTACACTCGCCTCCCAGAAGGTACCGAAGTGCGGGATGTACGCAGGGATAAAAATGAAATTTAATTTCATCATTCGCTGAACTTTCACCCAAGACCAAAGTATTTTCCTTTACAAATGAGAAGGGTCATTGCACGCACCGACAAATGAGATACCGTTGTCGGAATAAACATCAACGGGCTTATGTACCTCCTCAAGCAATAATCAGTCGATGCAACGCTAGTAAGTTACCCTCACTAGTTAATTCGCCAACGAAATCCAAATAAATGGTTACATACACCTTCACTAGCCTGCACACGCGACCCCGACGACTAGCACACAATAATAGGCCCGGCACAAACAACGCCAGCGCTCTCAAAGGGATAACCTGGACGAAGTCGCTCTCGTGGTAAGTTGCCCAGTATAGGACTAACTACCTGTCCCTTCATACGGTGACATGAAACACACTTATGAGAACAAGCCTTCGCCAAGTTGCGACCTCCTTGGCCAGTATGATTCCCTTATGGGAGCTAATAGCAAATGTGGGCCAGTGTGCATTAAACGTCTATGCTCGAAATTAAATAATTATTTTGTAAAGTGATGTGTGGACTGTAATATAAGGTGTTTTTTATTAAAATGAGACAAAAAAAATGTATTGTTTCCTATGTGATTTAATAAATCCTAATGTAAATAAATTATAATAACGACTAAAATAAATGAAATCACTTTTCGTATCAATGATAATAAATCGCGTTCACTATGCCTAGCCAAGGACTCGCTCAGACTTTTAGGAAACCCTAAACCATCATCGGAAGAGACATACCGACCCAGACCAAGTAACTTGTCGGGCTCGTGAGGTGCAATATCTACGTCAATCGAAGCTGGCAAGTCCCGCGAGACTAATGATTGGCAACAGTGTGTTGCTTTCTTGAAAGAATCTCCCAGAATTGAAGGTTCTTTCTCACATAATCTTTGTTCTGGCAAATCAAATGAACTAACATATTTATGATCATGGGAAACATCTTTACAAAAATTACATTTCAAATTATTAGAGAGAATCGGACCGGAAACTATCCACCCTAAACGGGTTTCGTACAATATTGGCTTCCCGGAACCTAACTCTATTTTTTGTGATCCTAATAATTTCCAAAACAAGTCGGCGCCGATTAATAACTCAACATCAGCGGGTTTATAAAATTTAGGATCAGCTAAAGTGATATTCGAAGGTATATCGAAATTATTAATATTTATTTCACGGCACGGTACCTCACTCGTGATGAATGGCAAAACCAAACAATGAAGGTTGAAATTAAAACGATCATCCAAAGACGTCATATCAACTCGACATGTTTTACCTACGTGCGAAGTAACATTATTTATGCCAAGTATAGATTTATTTACCTGGCTCGTGAATAAATTAAGTTTTTTACATAACCGTTCCGTTATAAATGACGACGTGCTACCGCTGTCTAGAAACGAGCGAACAACATGCACACAGCCAGTATGATCCCGTAGTTTTATCAATGCGGTCGATAGCAAAACATCACGCTGCGTATGACCTTGAGAGGATGCAATGTGTGCTGACAACGTAACGTTATTCGCAACTGTGGTAGCAGACGGTACGGATGATGAAGACAAGTTATTGTTAGACGAA